CCGCCACCTTAGGTGTATGTGGCTGGCGCCTTAGCCGCTTGAGCCACAGGCGCTGAGCCAGTTTTTCTATTTTTAATAGAGATAGCTTTCTCTCTTGTTGAGGCTGATCTTGTACTCCTATGTTCAAGCAATCCACGCACTTTGGCCTCCCATAGTGCTAGGATTACAGGTGTGAGCCACTGTACCAGGCCTCGGCTAATTTTTCTGTTTTTAGCAGAGATAGGGTCTTGCTCTTATTCAGGCTGACTCAAACTCCAGAGCTCGAGCAATGCCTTCCTCAGCCTGCCAGAGTGCTAGGATTACAGTTGTGAGCCACGGTACCTAACCTTTGGATTATTTTCTAGAGTTTTACGTAAATAAAATCATAAGGCATCTGAGAGAATGCTATTTAAAAGGCAAATGTCATAGAAAATACAAGTGATTTAGCTGCAATATATAAATTATTCTGCAACAACAATTTTTTTTAACTTTTTTTTGTTTTTTTGAAACAGGGCCTCACTATGTTGCCCTCAGTAGAATGCTGTGGCATCACAGCTCACAGCAACCTCCAACTCCCCAGCTAAAGTGAGTCTTTTGCCTCAGCCTCCCAAGTAGCTGGGACTACAGGCACCTAGCACAATGCCTGGCTATCTTTTTGTTGTTGTTGTAGTTGTCATTGTTTGGCAGGCTGGGGCCGGGTTCAAACCTGCCAGCCCCAGTATATGTGGCTGGTGCCCTAACCACTGAGCTATAGGCATCCAGCCAACATTTTTTTTTCTTTTTTGAGATAGAGCCTCACTGTGTCACCCGTGGTAGAGTGCTGTGGCATCATACCTCACAGCAATCTCAAACTCTTGGGCTTAATCGATTCTCTTGCCTCAGCCTCCCAAGTAGCTGGGACTACAGGTGCCTGCCACAACACTTGAGCCAGGGTTTTGATGTAGCTCAGGCTGTCTCCAACTCATGAGCTCAGGTGATCTACCTGCCTCAGCTTCTCAGACTGCTGGGATTACAGGCATGAGCCACCAAGCTGGCCTAACTCATTTTATTTTTTTAACTTATTAACTAGGTTTTTTTTTTTTTTAATTCAAAAGAATATTACATGTACATGGTAAAATATTCGAATAAAAAGATATTCAGTGAAAAGGAATTTTCTCTCCCCTTTTGAGACCACATCTCAAAAGACAGTCAGAATTATAATTTCTTCTGTGTCCTTCTAGAAATAGTCTATGTACATACAAACATCAAGACTCATCAACAGGCTCAGCGCCTGTGGCTCAAGTAGCTAAGGCGCCAGCCACATACACCTGAGCTGGTGGGTTTGAATCCAGCCTGGGCCTGCCAAACAATGACAGCTGCAACCAAAAAATAGCCGGGTGTTGTGGCGGGCACCTGTAGTCCCAGCTATTGGGAGGCTGAGGCAAGAGAATCATTTGAGCCCAGGAGTTGGAGGTTGCTGTGAGCTATGATGACACAGCACTTTACCCAGGGTGACACCTTAAGGCTCTGTCTCAAAAAAAAGACTCATCAACATATTAGAACATGCTATATATCTTGTGTTCTGCAGCTTACATTTCTTTTCCATGTAATAGATTTTGAAATTGCTCCCTAAGAATACATAGAGAGCACCTTAGTTTTTCATGGCTGCATGTTAATCCATCTTATGGAATTCTTGATAGGGGTGGACATTGCAGTTATTCGTCACCACACTGTTTAAATTTTGGCTAATGCAAACAATGCTGTAGTGAACATCCTTGTACATACAGCTTTCAGCACTCATATAAACAAATGTGTAGGCTAAACTTTTAAAACTAGAATAACTAGGTCAATTAGTGTCTTTTTAAAATCCTGATGAATAGAAGCAAATTGAACCTATACCACCCTTGTTTCACGTACTGTGAATGGACCTCACACCCTTACCAACACTGTGCATGTCAGATTTTTCATTCTTTGTCAATCTGATAGGCAAAATTGGCATTTAGTTTCATTGACATTTCTTTATTGTTAATACAGTTGAGCATCTTTTCTTTGTTTATGAACCACTGATATTCTTTGCAGTTCTCTCACTCTATAAAAAAACAGTATTTTTAATCAATCATTTCCATTCTGTCAGAAAATTGTGATCAAGCCTTAAAATGCTACCCCTAGTACAGTGATGGTCAGGACCTCAAAGGGTGAAGCAGAAATAAGCTATACTCTCAGTGTATCTTTTCATTCTTTCAAAAAATACTCTGAGGGTTGCCAGGGAATCTAGTCTAAAAGCTATATTACAGTATTTATGATCAATGTACATAATGCTTTTTCTGGCTTGCAGAAATGATTTTGACATTGTTTGGTATTCAGATTGAAGATAATCAAAGATTTTCTGGTTTTTCTCATAAATTATGAAGCTTAGGCTCGGCGCCTGTGGCTCAAGCCGCTAAGGCGCCAGCCACATACACCCAAGGTGGCGGGTTTGAATCCCCAGCCTGGGCCCGCCAAACAACAATGATGGCTGCAACCAAAAAAATGGCCAGGTGTTGTGGCGGGTGCCTGTAGTCCCAGCTACTTGGGAGGCTGAGGCAGGAGACTCGCTTGAGCCCAGGAGTTGGAGGTTGCTGTGAGCGTGATGCCATGGCACTCTACCCAGGGGGATAGCTTGAGGGTCCGTCTCAAAAAAAAAAAAAAAAATTATGAAGCTTAATTATAATGGGAATCAAAATGGTGTCTTTGTGGCTTGGTGCCCATAGCACAGTGGTTATGGTGCCAGCCACATGCACCGAGGGCGGCAGGTTCGAGCCCAGGTCAGCTGAACAGCAATGACAACTGCAACAAAAAAATAGCCAGGCATTGTGGCAGGCACCTGTAGTCCCAGCTATGTAGGAGGCCGAGGCAAGATAATTGCTTAAACCCAAGAGTTTGAGGTTGCTGAACTGTGATGCCATGGCACTCTACAGAGGGCGACATAGTGAGACTCTGTCTCAGATAAATAAATAATGTCTTTGTGAGAAGCAAAGCCAAAGGCACATGGTTAGAAAATAAGCTTTTCAACCTCCCATCAGAATTTCTACCTTGCCTATCAATCAGACTATCACATATAAGGGGAATAAGGAAACAGCTGGCTAGCCTGAGCAAGAGCGAGATCTCGTCTTTACTAAAAACACAAAAACTGGGCAAGAGGATCTTGTGAGCCCAGAAATTGGAGATTGCTATGAGCTATGATTCCATGGCACTCTACTGAGGGTGACAAAGTAAGACTCTGTCTTAAAAAAAAAAAAGCAAAATATAGGAAACAGCTGGAATGAATAGAGAAGTGGTACGAGTAGCAGTAATATTTCCTTCAAAGCAATGATAATTTAATTGGAAAATGTTATTAAGGTATTATAAGCTGGAGCAATTTAGCTAAGAAGGATAACTTGCCTGATATAAAAAAAGTGGAATAGTTGGTTTAGAAACATTGCTTTCAAGAGACGTAGCAGTAGACTGATGATCTGAACACTGGCTTGTTTAATTTTAAAGTGTGAATGGGACCCTGTCTTGTCCTAGAGCATGTAGGCAATGCTCTGTTGAATTTTTGGTGTTTCCATTGGACAGGTGTAGTGGTGTTGAGCACTTTATTTTGGAAGTTATTGGGCACCTCCCTGACATGGAAATGGTAATCAATGTACGAGATTATCCTCAGGTTCCCAAATGGATGGAGCCTACCATCCCAGTCTTCTCCTTCAGTAAGGTAAGTATGGGAACAGCCACATGAGGAAATGGAGGGAGGTCCTCTCAGGTAGAGGAGGAGGTCATTTGTCCTATGGCACAGACTGATTGGTAATGGTGAGGATAAGTCTGGGGTCCAGTAATGGATCTGTGTCCTTGTTCGCTTCACAGTGGTTGAGCAGCGAGACTGAGGAAACAGAGTTGAGAACCCATACGTGAAGTGAGTGGCATTGCTTAAGTGTCTGCAGGGCTAGGGATGGAAGCTAGGGAATGAGAGGTCTGTGGAACCTACAAGACATCGCAAATGGGGCTCAAAGATCCTACAGAGCATGGGATAGAGGGGTCCAGCAGGCTCTCATGGGCTTGGAATTAGGGATTACCTTTGTTCTAAAAATGTTTGTTGAGCTTGAATGTCTGTATCAGCCATAGTGCTAGTTATCATCTGTCTTATCTGTTACCATATCCCCAGGGCCCAGCATGGCTAAGAGTGAACCTGAAGGGACAGGATTATTCCAAATGATTTGGGTCCAAGCAGTGCATTGAGAGGCTAGGCCACTTATTGAGTACTTACTATGTACCTGACACTGTTCTAAGCTTTTTACATGTATTAACTCATTTAATATTTAAAATAAGCCTGTTGGATCGTATTATTGATATTATTATTTCTTCCGTTATAATGATAAGGAAACTGAGGCATAGAAAGATTAAGTAAACTGGCCTGGAGTTGTAAAGAGGTAGAGCAAGCATTCAAATTCACATGATCTGTCTCAAGAGTCCACATTCTTAACCATTGTACTGTATTTCCTAGTTCTTACTCTCAAAAGACCCACTAAGAAATAACCAAGAACTGGTAAGACAGTGTAAACTCCAAGAGTAATAGTTAAACAATGAAAGAGCTCCATGATTATTCAGGATCGGGTGTATTATTTCCTTAAATTAAAAATCTTTTTTTTTTTTTTTT